TTTAGAATTTAAAAAAAATAATTCAGGCCGCTTGGGTAATTTTTCAAGTACACTGTGAAAAAAAAATTTATTTTGATAATAATAATAAGATATTAATTTGTTTTAAATTTGGAATAATTTTATTTCTCAATTAAAGACATAAAAATTTTTCTCACAGTAATTTTCTTGTTTGAAACAAAAATTATGGATTTGGGTAATAAATAATTTTTGATGAAAATTTTTTTAATTAAAAAAAAATTTTTTTCAATGACAAAGTTACTGTGAGAAAAATTTTTATTTGTTCAGCTAAAAAATTAGTGTTTATAATTTTCAACAGATTAATTTTTTCTCACCTCCGGGCGGAAAGCGTCAATTTTCCTCCCGCTGCGCTAAACGAAAATGCCGCTTTCCGCCTCCGTCGAGGAGAAAAATAGTATACACACCACGGGAAGTAAATAAGAAAGCCTCAGATCACATGTTTATTGACCTCGGCTTTGCCTCGGACAACAATTACATGTGATCTGAGACATTTCTTATTTTACTTCCCTAGATGTGTAATATACTATTTGTCATAAGTTTCCCATTAGTTTTTGGGATTGATCAGTGGAGTTGCTTAGGAGTTATTTCAAAAAAATAATTTTTTGAAAATTTCAATTTTTTTAAATTTCTCCAAATCTAATCAGGGAAGCTTCCTAGGACCTCAAAACGTCAAGATCTGATGAAAACTTGATTTTCAAAAAACGATTGTAAAATCGTTGGATAAAAACAATAACTTCTCTATTTCCGAAAATTTTTGATTTTCTTAGCGGGAAGTTAAAAAATTCAAATTTTTTAAATATCATTAATATGTAAACTCCAGAAATGCCTTGATGGGGATGTCCAATAGAAACATTTCTTTATTGGATAATATCAAAGCAATATCACAAAAAAGAAATATTACCAAAGGCCAACCACCCAGTTGGCATTTAATTCCTTAAGTTTAACCTTAAATCTTGATACCCTTTACCATAATATTTACTGACTATAATTAAAACCTTTACCTAACTAAAAATAATTTAATAAAAAAATAACCTAAAAATAAAAATAATGAATATAAAATTATATTAAGCTAATTAAAACTAACCTGAAAAAAAGTAAATTAATGAACTTAGTATCTATTACCCTTATCTATTACCCCTTCGTTTTTTGGGCTGAATTACATCTATTACCATCGCTTTCCTCTTCCCTTGGTTGACGTCTTTCTTCGGGCGACTCTTCAAATGCTCTAAAACTCCTTTGAGCTTGTCTTCCACCGGGTCCAGACTGGGAGCTGTTTTTTCTTCTTGACGTATCCTTTTTTTGTGATTAGCTTGAGTCCTATCAGTTTGATTGTTTTCAAAAAACACTCCTCTACTCACATTCCGAAATTTCGGAATGGCAATAGGACGAGTGTCTCGCGGTAAAACACTGAAATTCAATTTTTGAGTCGTCCGGTCTATCTGCGCAGGTTGTTCCACGGTTATTTCTTCTTCTTGACTATTTCCAGGGTTCTCCGGTTCTTTTTGGTCCTCTCTGTGAGTATCTTCTGTCCTGTCATCCTCTTCTATCACGAATAACTCTCGACGAATAGTTAAAGGCTGGTTAAACCTCATATAATCCTCCGGGAAGTATTTTAAAATGGTTTTACCCGGAGTTGGAGGATTTTTGGTGATGTCAATTTCACGATCTATGAACGCAATTGACTCCATAATTTCTTCATTGTAGGCCTTGACGTCTAAGTTTTCCATTTTTTAAAAAGATTATTATTTAAAATACATTTAAAAAATTAATTAATTATAATTATATATCAACACGTGGTTGGGAGTAAGGTTATGAAAAACTTGAATTTTGATTTTTATAACTAATTAACACAATTAAGAGGATTTTTACTAACAAATCAACAAATTCACAATTTATTAACAATTTATGTACAATAAACACTTAAGCAAAATTAAATTAGCGTTAAAATAATTAAAAATTTGGTGATGTGGGTAAAGATTTGGGAAGAAAGTAATTTGAAGCAGACACGAGGTTAACTTGATGACTGTTCAACTAGTTCCGACTATATCATAGAGTATACAGGCTTACAGAGGTTATACAGCGCTGCACTGCTACGTGACAGACTATACGCAACTACCTAAAGTTACTATAGAACGTGCCCACGTGACATCTAACAACCTAAAAATTACCTTAAGTTTTTTTAATTTATAGCAATTTACCCACTAAAAACAATAATTTAAAACTGTTAATTATTATTAACGACTAAATTTATTTTATATTTGATGAATAAATATAATCACATGTATGTGATTGACTGTATCGAAAATTATGATCAGTATACTATGCGACACAGAATATAGAAGATACTATACAGAAAGAAAAATTTCTTGACTGAAGAACAAAATTCTTGGCTCAAAAAAATTTTCGGGTACCTAAAGAAAGACGGAAATTGTATTGGCCGAAGTAAAAATTTTTCTTGAAATTCTATTCTTGGTGGAAGTCATTTTTTCTTAATTCAGATCATAAATACTTGATGCAATAAATTTTTATATTTGATCAAGATTTTTAGATACTTTAAGGAAGCAGCGCCACCTACTTCAACTGAGAAAAAAATTTTCTCACCTTGAGAAAATTTTTCTCGAGAATATTTGATACCCATTTCATATTATTTTAGCGTGCAATTATACATATTGAAAGAAAAAAAATGATGAAATATTATTTGATCTTCCCATTTGACATGTTAATCAATAAAAATATTAATGAAAATTTACTTCTATCTTTATGTTTAATTTTTTGGAGCAAGAGAGAGGCTGAATTTTCTCAAAACAACAAGATTTTCTTGACTTAAATAAATTTTCTTGGATCAAGATACGTATTTTTTAAAGCAAGAGAATTAATTTTGTTGGAATAAGTGAAATTTCTTGTCAAAAAAAAATTTTTTTTTCGCTCACGAAAATAATTAGGAAGAAAAATATTTTCTTGGCTCAAGTGAACCATTTTTTCTGTGTAAAAAATAAACCTTATAATCATAATTGTGGGAATTGATATCCATTGATTGTGCTAATTACAATCGCCTGATAGTTGTATTTATCATTTTAACTTTGAAAACGTTTTAGTAACTATACTGGATAGTAGGAGCTACAAAATAGGGATAGTTACAGTTAATAACATAAAATTCTCTCCGTGTAAGTTTAATAAATAATCACACATTCTTAATATAGCATACTGGATTACCCATTTCTTACAAAATAAATTTTTTCTCCGTGTATCATTAGCGTAATAATTAAATTCGTATTGGACTCATGACTTAAGTGAAACTTCATGCAGACTTTTAATTTGGATTACCGTTCACACGAGGACCCTCATCCTTTTCGGCTGATTGTTGTTAAAGATATACTCAATACTCTCTTATTGAGTACAAGTGACATGAACTCACGGTACTGAATAAATATTGTATCAGATCAACTTTCAGCGCGATGGAATCCGGTTTTTCAAGATAGGTGTTTTCGTTTGGCAACAAATATTACACCCGATTAAATGTCCCACATTCGGGCTTCTATTTTCGATCAACAACACTCAGTGACCTACGTTTTGGGCCATTGTCCAAGTGTCTGAAAAAGTCTAACCATTTTTTATTTATTTATTCACCTACAATTTTATTTTTTAACTGAATAAGAAAAATTTTTCTCCCAATTACTTTCTTATTAAAAAAATTTTTTTTCATATCAAGAAAAATTAATTTTTAAAAAAATTCGCAAGATGTCTATTTCAAGTTTTTATTTTTTGAATCAGAAAAATTTTTATTTCTTCATCTAATAAATAAAATAGTTTAAAATTTTAAACAAATTAATATTAGCAACCTTGCAGTCACTATGTGACTGCCGTGACTTGTAACATTATTAAATAATGACTTTTGTTAAATTGCACTGTACTTACTTAAGTATTGACATTTTTAAAGATATAAGCTCATCTCGATGTTACACTCATCAAGAGCTTACATTTGAGTACCCACATGCATTTTGATACATTTTTCATATATACATATATATAAAATATATAAATATATGAAAAATTTGTGTGGGTACTCAAATGAAAGGTCTCGATGAGTGTAACATCGGGATGAGCTTATATCTTTAAAAATGTCAATAATTCACAAGATGGAAGGTCATTTCTTAATTATTGACATTTTTAAAGATATATAAGCTCATCCCGGTGTTACACTCATCGAGACCTTTCATTTGAGTACTCACATGCATTTTTATATATTTTTATATATTTATATATATACATATGATATCTTCAAAAATGTCAATAGTTAGCAAGATATTTGTTAAATTGCACTGTACATTCTTAAATATTGACGTTTTTAAAGATTTAAGCTCATCCCGACATTACACTCATCGAGACCTTTCATTTGAGTACCCACATGCATTTTGATATATTTTTCATATATACATATATATAATATATAAAATATATGAAAAATTGATGTGGGTACTCGAATGAAAGGTCTCAATGAGTGTAACATCGGGATGAGCTTATATCTTCAAAAATGTCAATAGTTCACAAGATAATAGGTAATTTCTTAATTTTGTATCTAGAGAGCATTTTCGAATGCAGCCTAAATACTTTTAATAAATTGACTATCGGTGAGAATGAAATAAAACCTTGAAAAGGCACAATTTCAAATCATGACCTTTGCAATGACATTAAATTTTACTAAAAAAAACCGATTTTATCTTATAAGTATCCTAGAAACAAAATTTTTCTTATTCTCTTAATAATATAGATTACATTGTTTATTTTTCAAAATAAATTTTTTTTTTTTTTCATTTTATTAAACCTAACTATTGATTGAATCTTATTTAAAATGTAATATAAAAGGTGTATAAATTAAGCGCTTAATAAAAAAATAAAATGAAATTCAGTCATTTCGTTATCAGTAATTAGCGATAAAACAATGAAACAATTACTCAATAATTTAGATTCGCGTGTTAGTGAAGAATAGAACCAGATTTGACGCAGACGCAACAGATGATCACCACAAAATTCTATCTCTCTTTATCACTCTTCTCTTTCCATCAATCTTTTTTCTCTTTTTCTTGTCCTTGCTCGCTCATGTTCACTATCCCGTCCGGTGGAATCACGTCGTCGCGTCGAGGCCAAGGGGAAGTCTGTTGACCATCGTCATGTCCGCATCCCTCGTGGCGCCTCTCGTTGTTAGTTTATACGGTAATACGTGCAGTGTTCTAATTAACAGTATTTTACGACATGGAAGAAATTGTACGATCATTCGCGCTGGACATGGCAGCGGGATACACATCGAAGGACGAAAAATTTCTCGGGAAAAAATGAGAGAAAATTATCTCAAGATGAAGGAAAAATGCAAATGTGAGTAACATGCGCACTAAAATTTATAATTGGCGCCATTTTTTTTATTTTCAAATATTTTTAGTTTATTTCTTCTTTTTTTTTAAGAAAATTTATTGTTTAATTTATTATTTAGCTCAATATTATGTGAATTATTTTTATTATTATTATTACGTAAAAATTTACTAAGTACTGTATTATCAGCTGATTCTCTATTGCTTTTTCTAACGCGCATGATTATGCGCATAATCTTTAGAAATGTGTGTTGACTCTGCACATGCGCAATAAATCAAATTTTAATTCGTTGAGTTCACGTGTATTATTTTAAATTGATTTGCGCGTTATTTTTTAAAATTATAATTTGTTAATTTTATTTTAAGTTATTTATTTTTACAGCCGCTTTTTCTAAAAAAAAAATGATAAGTCTCAAAAATATTTCATACAATTTAAAAAATAAAAAAAAATTTTTTAACTAATTTATGAAAAAAAAAAAAATATAAATTTGTTCAATATTTAAAAGAGAAAATACTTTTTTTATTTTAAAATCCTAAAAAAAGTTAGATTCATTGAACGATTTTTAAAAATATCTTTTAGATTAATTCTTAGATTTTTTTTAATTATTCTAAATAAAGTGAATCAATTTTTAATAAAAAAAATACTTTTTTTAAAAATTTTGTAAAAGTTATTGTTTAAGAAATTTATAAAATTTATTGCTTAAAAAAATTTAGTAAAATTTTTTGTAACAACTTAGGAGTAAAAAATAATTTTTTTAACAGTTAATCCCTTCTTTTAAGTACACCGTTAACTTATTAAAATAGAAGTAGTTTTATAAAATTAATAAAATTCAATAAAATAAAAAAAATAAATACTTTTTGTGCTTATGATTATAAAAATAAACAATATCTTCAAAATTGTAAAAAAAATGTAGTCGACAAATAATTTATTGAATAGTAATAATATAAAATAAATTTTATTAATAAAATTAATTGGTATGAGATGGAAAATTCCGATATTTAAATCATTAAAAATAAATCAATAAAAAAAATGAACTGAATAAATTTTCTCAATCATTTTATCAGTATACATTGACACTCGACATCGATACTGCATAAGGTTTTATCACACGTGATCTTAACATTACGGTTTAATGAATGATGATGTGATGATGATGTTAAATAAAATTAAAAGAGAAAGAAGTTAGTCTTAACATTATGTATTACAAATATTAAACTTGTGACACGTTAGAATAAGAAGTTAAAATAGAATGAGAAAAATCTAGAACAGAGAAAATCGTCATTTCATGGATGCTTCATATTAGGCGGTGAAACGGCTGATCATTCATAATGATAAGATTAAATCTCATGTATTCGTGTTGTTCTTAGCATTTCTTCCTTTATTTATATTCTTCATTTTAAATGTGTTAATCAAAATGTATTTTTAATTATTATTAATGATATATTTTTCAGCTAAAAAATTACCACCAGATGTGAATGCAAATGGAGTATTTGCCTGTAATGAATTGGATTTAAAAGAAGTTCAAGTTTATGGATTTGATTATGATTATACTTTAGCGTGTTATAAACCATCGATGGATTATTTATTGTATAATTTAGGTCGTGATATGTTAATTAAAAAACACAAGGTAATTTAATATTTATCTACACTAGAAATAAAAATTAATTTGAATCAAGTGAAATTTACTTAAACCAAGAAAAATTTATTAGTTGAAGAATTTTTCTACTTTAAATTAAGTTATTCAAAAAAAAATTTTTTTTTTTCTTTAATTTGACGAGATCGGCTGTTCTTAAGTCCCATAAATTACTAAGGTCATGAGCGACTACTGTAAATATTGACACTTAAATATTGAAAAATATTCATTGGTGTACACCGGGCTCGAACCCGGTCCAAAGCTTTGGTAAACAAGAGCCGGACCCGATAGGCTACCGCGCGTCCTCCTTCCTAAATTATTTACTTGATTCAAATAAATTTTTATTTCTTTGTAATAAATTCATAATTTTATGTACAAAAATAATTTTATCTTTTGAATAGAAAAAAAAAATTTGTGATAATAATAGTAATTCAGAAAATAAATGGATAATTCTGTTAAAAATTACACCGGCAAACAAAAAAAAAGTAATTTGTACATTTGACTAGATCCATCTAAGGTTATATATTATTTCGATGCGCTAATTCAAATTTTGAGTCAGTTTGGCTCGTAAATCCTTAAAATTTTTAATAAATTACAAAAAAACGCGAAAAAATGGAGTTATACACGCGAAAAAATTTATTTTAAATGTTTCTTATGTATTTCGAGGTATCAGGACTCTTGATACCCCGACAAAATATTTCCGACTAAATATCCCGGACAAAATATCTTCAAAATAAATATCATGGATTTTGTGTGTGTTTATTCGTCATTATTAATCTTAAAAAGGTCAATATTTATATATGTAAATATTTTGTCGTAGTTATATTCAATTTGGGGGATATTTTGTCGGACTATCAAGAATCATGGAACCGAATTTCGATGCGCTGAATCCAAATCTAAAGTTTACTAAACACAGTAAAAAATATTATGTTAAATACCGTCAACACAAAATTAGTGTTCAAATTCAATACACTTTTGTGTTAAAATGACACAAATTTTGTGTTGAAACAACACAAAATTTGTGTTGACGGTATTTAACACAGAAATTGTGTTGATTTTACACAATATTTGTTACTGTGAAGCTACTTTAGTTAATAATTCCCCTAATCCTTATAAGATTTCGTTTTGATTTTATTTAAATTAAAATTTATTTCTTCAATTTTATTTTCCTAGCTACTTACTATCCTTTGTGACTCAAAAATTTTTTTTTTACTATTCAAAAACAATTAACAAAGTAAAATTGCCGCCACTTGGATTTGAACACTGCCCGAAAAATTGAACCTTGGATGTAAATAATGTCTTTCTAGCGTAAATTTAGCTGAAATTAAAATACTTGCTTTGAACTTTTGATGTTTTTATTAATTATTAAATTTACATTAATTTTAAAATTAGCAACAACACAATTTAATTTTCAACCAAGAAAATAAATAATGTATATATAGTAGCTTATTATAGAATATTAAAAAAATGAAAAAATTGTATGAATATAATTTTTAATAACATTATGTAATTTTATTTATGATGCAGTATCCAGAAAAAATTGCTCAATTAGAATACAAAGATGATTTCGCAGTCCGTGGTCTTCATTATGATATTGAAAAAGGTTTACTCTTGAAACTCGATAGTTTTCTGCAGATCCAACTTGGCACTGTTTATCGTGGACTTCATCCGGTTCCTGATGATGAGGTTCTCAGAATTTATAAAAACCGGATCATACCGATTGCTTACGTCGAGTCGCAACATAAACACTCTCAGGTGAGCAGTATCAATCACACTACTTGTATTGAGACCTTATTGCCGTTTTTTCTATATGAGAGGAAGAATGAAACGCAAGAAATTCTTTAAGCGCAATAAAACTTTAGAAAAACTCTAAGTTAAACAATTAGTGAAACTATAAATATTTAATTCAGATTAATAAAAGGTATTTAAATATATAATATATCAACTATTGAAAAAAATATTCATATCAAACTGATAGAAGGATTATAATTCTATTTAATAAGATTTAGTAATAGTTACTAAATAATTTATTAAAGGCCATTTTTTTCCACCAAATAAATATTTAGTAGTATTTAACAAATTATTTATTGCTACTTAATAAATCGTTTATTGGTATTAAAGAAATTCATTTTTTAACTAATTTTAGCGTACAACCTAACTTTTTTACTCAAAATAAATCAAAATAATTAAAATAATTAATTTTAAGTTAAAATATAAGGCATTATAAAGAAAATAATCTCATTAAATTATAATTTTTTATTTGAGACATTTATAAAATTTAAAATTAAGTTTTTAACATATCAATAATAGATTAATTGAAAAATTTAAACTAAACTCCACTGAGAAATGACATATAAGCCATTTGGGACGTATGTGTGTTTACAAAGGGAAGATAAATCTCCCAAAATCGAGCTGAATAAAATAATCTGAGTCAGTGAATAGATTATGTATCACATTGGAATTAAAGCATAGCCGTCTACCGATAATACTTGCCAAAGCAATATTTAGTATTTACTAAGGTAAAGTACCCAGTACTTGAACACTTCTAAAAAGGGGACCAGTAGTTGAACAGACTTTTAGAATTGTTGTAATACAAAATCTGTATATATATATAT